GCATGGCAGGGCACGGCACGGCAGGGCACCGCAGGGCAGGGCATGGCATGGCATGGCACGGCACGGCACGGCACGGCACGGCACCGCACCGTGTCCCTGGAGGGCTGCGGGCACCCGTCGCCGGGCTCCTCCCGGGGACCGCAGCACGGAGCCCCGGGGCTGTGGCCGGTGTGGTCTGGGTCCTCCTGCTGCGGGAGGGCAAACTCTGCCTGCAGGAGCTGCTGCTCCCCAAGCCAGGGGCGCAGAGAGCTCTGTGTTTGTGTCCCTGAGCACTGCATGAAGCTTGGGTGGTGCTGCTGTCCCCACACCCTGCCTGCCCTGCTCTGCCCAGCTGCCCCAGCCCCTGCCCACCCCATCCCAGGGAACGGGGGAGGGTGTCTGCGTGTGTCCTTTGAGGGGACCAACCTGCCTGCAGCAAGTGTACCCCCAGGTGAACCAGGCCAGCTTTCCTTTCTGCCTTCCTTCCAGCCATCTATACTTGCTTCCTTCCTTCCTCCCTTCCCTTCAGCATTCCATTGTTCTCTCCCTCCTTTCTCCATTCCTCTGGTTCTCGCCATTTCTCACCTCTCTCTTTATGCCTCTCCGTCCCAGTGCTGCTCTAAGGGCCCAGAGCAGCTGGAGCTGTGGTGACTCCTTTGGTTGCCCCAGCCTGTGGTGCTGCTGGGGGTGGCTGGTTTGGGGTGGGCTCAGCAGCAGCCACCCAGGCCCTGACAAAAGTTCCCCTTGTCCTGTCACAGCCGTTATTCAAAGAATTTCTGGGTGAAGCTTTGCCCTGGGGCAAGGGAGGCTGAGGGGTGCTCGGGGTGGGGTGCTCAGGGATGCCTGGGGTGCAGGTGGTCCTATGCCCTGCTGTTGGGAGCACTGCAGGTGTGTGGGCAGGGTGCAGGGTGCTTCCCACCTGCCCTGCAACCCGGGACTGCTGCTCTGCCATGACCCAGAGTTTTCCTGGTGTTTCTCCAGCTTTGAAATGCTGGGGAGATCTAGTGTCAAGGTGACCTGGGCCGGGGGGTTCAGCCAAAAGGCTGGCTAGCCGTGCACCCCTCCCCAGCAGTGGCTGTTACTCGGTCCCTGAGGAAGGAGGGATGTGTCCACCCTTGGCTGCTCCCAAGGGATTGCATGTAGGCTGTCCCCAGCCCACACTAGGAGCACCTCAAAAAGCCCTACCCTGCAACAGAGCGGGTCCCCAGCTCAGAGAGGAGTAGAGGAGAGGGTCGTGTGTGGAGCTATGGGTGATGTGGGCTCAAAGCCCTGACCTGGATCTCCTGCCCGGCTCCCTCCTCCTGCCCCTGGGTGGTCTTGAGCTCCCACAGCTCCTCTTCTGCTCTGCATGATCACGAAACCCCATGAGGGGCCAGCAAGAGACAAGACCCAAGCGACTGGATGCTGGGACAGCATAGCTCCAGGACCCAGTCACCCATCTCCTCTATGGACCTAGGGGCATGAAGTCCTGGGGAACTAGTGGCCTATCTCCTCCATGGACAGGCTCTGAGCGTCTCTCAGGGGACCACCTTGGGGGGTAACCAAGCTCCCCTATCTTCGTGGTGTCATCTGCAGACGGCAGCACCCACCTGCACAGTGCTCACACTACCTGATGGTCCTATGGCCTGGCCCCCGGTGCTGGGGGCTTCTGGCAGAGCTGGCCCTGGCTCCCAGCCTTGCTCGGAGCACACAGGCAGTCCCAGGCTCTGGCACCATGCTACCACCTCCCTATGCTGCAGGGGTCCAGGTGTCTGCACCCACTGCCTGCAAGGAACCCCCCCAGGACATTGTCCCTTGTGCCAAGGTGTCCTGGGGCAGCATCCATCAGTGATGGCTACATGTGCCAGGTCAAAGCTCCCTCCTGCTCTGCCACCCATCCAGTGTCCCCCAGGGCATGTCCCTAGTGCTGTCCTCTGTGAAGGGGAATGGCCCTGTCACGTGTGACCCTGGTCCCTGGGGCTGAGCAGGGGTGAAGGGGACAGCAGCATGGATGGTGCTGGCAGGGAATGCCACCTGCAGCCAGCAGGGTTTGGGCAGGCAAGGCTGGGAATGGTGCCCCATGGGCTGTGCAGCACCCAGTATCTGGCTTCTCAATCGTGCAGGGGAAGAAATGCAGAAAGAGGGCGAGAAAGATAACAGGAAACAGGGGACATGCTAGGGAGGAAAAAACACCCAGCCTCAGAGCTGCAGTTGGCCTCTGAGGGCTCCCAGGGTGGCACTGAAACCACAGAGCCCAGCTACACCCTGGTACGGTGCACTGCACTGTGCCCAGCCGCTGCCTGGCCCCTTACCTGCGGCCATCCCAGGATCTGGGACAGTGGCAGGAGCAAGGGACCAGGGGGGATGCGGACCCCAGGGGTGCTGGAGCAGCCCAAGGACCCCCGTGGAGTAGCATGGGCCCTGCTGCCAGCTCCGGTGTGCCAGCTCCAGGGACAATGCTGCATGCCGGGGGTCCCCTCCCCACCTCTGCCTCAGTTTCCCCATCTTTTTTTGCCTGCCAGGGCTTTCCAGAAGATTTGGTGCCCAGACAGCAATGCCAGCACAGAAGACAACCAAGTGTGTGGCCAGAGGAGGACAGGGGCAGGGGCAGGGACAGGGGCAGGGAGAGAGCTGGGGTACGGGTGGCAGCTTTCTGTGAGAATCACACATGCCCACTTCCCCTTCTGGCAGCAAACACCCAGCTGGGGTAGGTGCAGGGGCTTGGCAGCACTGAGGAGCTGCTGTTCCTGCCCATTTCAAGATGAGTCAGAGGGAGCCAGCACCAGGCTGGTGTCCTGGTTTCAACCGGGTGGCACCTTGGCGAGGCTCAAGGCAGGTTTCCCGCACCCATCCCAGCAGAGGAAGGGCTTCCAACACTGTGCGCGCACCAGGGCAAGGTGCTGGCTCCTGCCATGGCCCTGCCGTGACACAGGCGGTGCCGGTGGCTGTGCCAGGCTGTGGCTCCATCCCAGCGGCTCTGCAATGGGCGGCAGCAAATGCTGCAGAAGCGCCGGGTGTCAGTGCAAGACAAATGAGAATCGCTGTTCAGCTACTGCTGGGTGACTTCAGAGAGAGCCGCGTGTGCCAGGGGCATGCAGCCGGAGGGCACCCACCAGCTGTGGGACACCCACCCAGTCACATGATACCTGCCCAGGCATGGGGCACTCACTCGGCCATGGAGCACCCATCCACCTCTGGGGCAGCACCCAGCTGTGGGTCAGCCGGTGCCCATGTGGTGCAGGGGAAGTGCAGGGAGGGGGCTGTGCCAGCTGCAGCATGGCAGGAAGGACCCACTGTGGGGCCAGGACGAGGCAAAACCACAGAAAAGAGGAAGCCCTCAAGTGCCCCAGCCCAGCAGCAGCGGTGCCAGGGCACACGCACACAGGCTTCTCGCACAGCAGCGCGGCGCGGCCCGGTAAGTCTGAGCTCAGCACCAATGCCCATGGCAGGAAGAGGGGCTGAGGAACAGGGCAACCCCAGCACTGCCATGGAGGGTGTCCCCACCGGAGCACCTGCAGACAGGGCCAGGGACTGGTGGGCAGAGGGACCAGAGTGACCAGAAGCACTGGTGCAGTGCAGGGAGCAGGCAAAGCTTTCCCAGCCCTCCTTGCTTGGGATGCCAGGTTTTTCTGGACCCTAACCTTAGCTTGTGTTTTAGCAGAGGGGCAAAGGCAGGGAAGGGGTTTTTCACAAAGTGGCAGTAGCTGGGGTGGGAGAACAGGGCACCACCTCTCAGAAGGCTCAAAAACCATGGAAGAATGGGCACAGCCCTGGCCAGCAGCAGGGCTGGCAGCCCATGTGTTTCCAGAGGTTACCTGGAAAAGGAAACCACCCTGGGTGCCAAATGTTGGAGGTTGTATGTGGGGGCTGAGCCCCATGTCTGGGACTGGCATTCCTGCTGCCTGCGGGGCTCAGGCTGCAAGCTCCCAGGCTGTTGGGCTTCCCTGTGCACTTGCTGGCTGGGGAGAACACCCCAAACCGGGGGGCAGCCCAGCCATCACTGCAGGAGGGTGCTGGAGCAAGAGGGCACTTCTCAGGCAGGACACCCCAGTTGGGGGTTCAGACTTCTCAGTGATTCCAGGTAAACACCATTCCCAGCTTGGTCCCCTATTATTGCCCTTTACTGTGGCCCCATCCTGCTAACTCCCAGGCAACAGGTGGCATTCCAGACTTGACCCAGGCAAGCAGGAAGTGTGGAGTTGGGACCATGGCTCTTTGTCAGTGGGAAAACTGGAGACCAGAGCAAGTACCAAGGACTGAATCCATGGTGTGATGGGGAGCGGTGCCAGGTGTGGGAGACAGAGCTGGCTGCTGCCCATCAGCCCTATACCCCCCCTTCACAGAATCCAAGCCTGGTTTCAGTTGAAGTGACCTTAAAGCTCCTCCAGCTCCAACCCCTGCCACGGGCAGGGACACCTTCCACTAGAGCAGCTTGCTCCAAGCCCCTGTGTCCAACCTGGCCTTGAACACTGCCAGGGATGGGGCAGCCACAGCTTCTCTGGGCACCCTGTGCCAGCGCCTCAGCACCCTCCCAGGGAAGAGCTTCTGCCTAAGAGCTCATCTCAGTCTCCCCTCTGGCAGGTTAAAGCCATTCCCCTTGGCCTGTCCGTACATCCCTTGTCCCAAGCCCCTCTCCAGGTTTCCTGCAGCCCCTTCAGGCACTGGAGCTGCTCTCAGGTCTCCCCTTCAGGAGCCTTCTCTTCTCCAGGCTGACCCAGCCCAGCTCTCTCAGCCTGGCTCCAGAGCAGAGCTGCTCCAGCCCTCGCAGCATCTCCATGGCCTCCTCTGGGCTCGCTCCAACAGCTCCAAGTCCCTCTTGTGCTGCTGCCCCAGAGCTGAATGCAGAGCTCTCCTTGGCAGCACGTCCCTGCTTGCCCTGTAGGTGGAGATGCTGAGGACTGTGGGAGGGTGACATAAAACCCACCATGGAATGACATCGGGGCGGGGGGGGGGGCAACAGGAGATTCAGGGGTGCTGGTGGAGCCCAAGTCAATGCGGAAGCCCTTTCTCCCACCCCTCCAGCCCCAGCACCTCCCCACTGCCCCTTGCAAGCTGAGCTGACAGGCCTTGGTGTCCTTTCCTCTCTCCCAGGTGTCAGCTTGTCACTGGAGGTGACAGCCAGCCTGGCAGTATGCCCCGGGTGTCACTGCTGCCCCGGCTGCTGGGGGCCCGGCCCGCTCTGAAGGCAGTAGCCATTGCAGTGGTGCTTGCAACTACCCTCTGGAGCCTGAGTTGCTTCCTCAGCCCTCCCCAGGTCTCCAGAGAAGCCCCTCAGCGCATGGAGCCACTGCTGGTCCTGGTTTGGGAATGGCCCACAAAGCAGGTCCCCAATGTCAGTGGGGATGTCTGCCGCGAGCTGTATGGCATCACAGGCTGCTGGCTCACCATGGAGCGCCAGCTCCTGCACTGGGCGGATGTCGTGGTGTTCCCCCACACCAGGCTGCAGCCCAGCAGGGACAGCCTGCCCAAGGACAGGCCACCGTGGCAGAGCTGGGTATGGGTGTCCCTGGAGTCCCCCTCCAACACTAAAGCTCTAGCGGGATGGAACCAGACCTTCAACTGGGTGATGACCTACAGACGGGACTCAGACATCTTCATCCCCTATGGCAAACTTGTGCCCAACCGGTCAGCCACTGTGAACATCCCTGCAAAGACCAATTTGGTGTCTTGGGTCATCAGCAACTACCACAGGACTCAGAAAAGAGCTGAAGTCTACAAGAACCTCTCCAGGTACCTCCAGGTGAACATATACGGGAAAGCAAACAAAAAGCCACTTTGCAAGGACTGCCTCTTGCCAACGACATCCAAGTCCAAGTTCTACCTTGCTTTCGAGAACTCCATCCACCAAGACTACATCACCGAGAAGCTCTGGAGGAACGCACTGATGGCCGGCACCGTGCCTGTGGTGCTCGGTCCCCCCCGGGCCAACTACGAGCAGTTTGTCCCTGCAGACTCCTTCATCCACGTGGATGACTTCAGCTCCCTGGAAGAGCTGGCCACCTTCCTGAAGACCATGAACTCCAGCCGCTACCGGCAGTTTTTTGCCTGGCAGAGGCGGTACAGTGTGAAGCTCTACACCGACTGGAGGGAGCGGATCTGCACCATCTGCAGCACCTACCCCAGCCTGCCCCGTGGCCGCATCTATCCTGACCTCGAGAGCTGGTTCAACACCTAGAGCTGGTGTGCTGGGACCATCGGGGCAGAGGATACAGGGGTGGGGTACAGAGGATACACGGAGCAGTCCTAGACCAGGACATGGGGCAGGGATGGATGTGGGAGTCTCTACCTCTCCTCCCAGCCTGGCTGTTGCCACACTGGGACCTTGAGCAACTACTTGTGACTTTATTTCCGGCAAAACTGAGCGACCCCCCCACCTGACCCAACACTGACCCACCTCGCCATGGTGCAGGAAGGATATGATGCTTTGGAAATAAATGAGTGCTGCAAAGGCTCTGCTTGTGTTGTGGGGCAGGGACAGGGGTTGGGGGTTGGGGGTGTGGGGCTCCCAAGCCTTCCCCTGCCATTGCTCTGTGCCCTCCACAGTGAAGCTGCAGTGCCAGAGACCCTGTGGTGACATTCCTGGTTGGGCTGGAGGAGCCAAGGTCAGGTCAGCAGGGAGAACCCGGTACCCCACGGCTGGAGATAGAGAGCGTAGCCTCTGCTCCCCCACTTCCTGGCCCACCCCAGCACACGTTTCCCCCCACAACCCCAACTGCCGAGCTGTGAGTGTCACCGTGCTGGTGAGGACCAGGACACCGGATGCTCTTGGGTGCAATCTCAGCTCGCTCAGTGCAGTCAGAGGGTTGCTGCGGTTTCTCACTCTCCTGCCCCGATGTGGCAGGAAGCCAGAGACACGGTGGAGGCTGGAGCCTAGCAGCAAGCCCAGAGCAAAGCCAGGCCTCTGGACAACGTATGGCACCGGCAGCCTGATCCATGTGCCCTGAGCACTGCCATGGAAGGTCCTGCTCACACTGCACTGCACACACCAGGCACCACACTATCAGCATGGTGCAGAGCTGGACCCGGCGCATACATTGTGGGCACCCTGGCCCATGCACACACCTTGCACCTGGGCACAGGCAATGCCAGGCACCCCGAGGGGACACCTGCACCTAGGATGAGTGCAATGCTGGGGTTGGGCGACAGGACTAGGCAGTGAGACAACAGCTCCATCCATGCCTTGCTCCCGTGCCCCTCAGCTTGGTGCCATCAACCCTTGATACAAAAAATTCTTTTTTCACTTCCTGCCTCTTTCCCTCCCTGCAGCCCTACATCACCTAACCCCACTGCTGCCACCCCTCAAGGTGCTGAGTGCCGCCAGGACCCACTCCCCATGCCCGGGGTGCAGCATACCCCCCCTCCCAGATGCTGTACCTGCCCTGGGCTGGCACATCCCTGTGTGCCCAGCAGGTCAGTGGCCATGCTGTGCACTTCCAGTTTCTGAGGCTTCAAATTTCAGTTTGGTTTTGCCTTCTGGACACGTTGAAAATGCAGCAGGAAGGGTTCAGAGTGCCCAGGGGCAGGACACTGGGATTTGAGGTCCCCTGGCGGGGATCAGAGGTCCTGCCTGGCCGGCCTTATGCTGGAGGAGAAAACCAGATAGTGAAGATGTGAAGGAGCAAACCTCAGAGGTGACATCCTTCCCAGGCATCCTGCTACTGGCTATGCTGCAGCACCAGCACCAAAAGGCAGCAGTGGCCTGTGCTCCTGCCCTGTGTGATGAGTGCACAGGGCACTGGGGAGAGATAGTGGGGACACAGAGTGAGCCAAGGGGATCCCACCACATGGGGCTGGCACCCAGCCTGGTGTGTGCACCTCAGCCTTCACAGGGTCCCCACTCCTGCCTGGGCCATGGCAGCAAGGCTGGGGTCAGACCCAGCGCAAACCCATTTACTGGCAGCCAAACACAGGAAGGGGCTTTTCAGAAGTTTCCTAGAATCATAGACTCAACCAGATTGGAAAAGACCTTCGGTACCATAAAGTCCAACTGCTCCCCAGTACTGCCAAGGCCACCATGTCACTGAGGGCCTCACCTACATGGTTTAACACTTCCAGGGCCCTGGGCAGCCTGTTCCAAAGCCAGTTTCCCTACAGGAGCACAGCCTGGTGCCAAACCAGACTGCAGAGGCCATGGAAGTGAACAGCAAGGTGTCATCTCTCAGATGCTCAATTTTCCTGGCTGGTCTGGCACCTCCAATCTCAAGCAGCTCAGCCCCTGATGCTCGCCTGGGCTAGCACCACTTTGGCACAGCCACCATGGTCACTGCATCACATGCACAGGAGCATCCCTTGTCCACCAGTGTCACACTGGCAGCCCCATGGCAAGGGCAGTCCAGACTTCCTGTACCAGCATCCCTTGTCCACCAGTGTCACACTGGCAGCCCCATGGCAAGGGCAGTCCAGACTTCCTGTACCTCTCTGCCCACCCCATGTCATGGAGTGCTGCAGCTCCCATCACATCCCTGTGAGGTGCACAGTGTCTGCTGGAGCAGCTTGCAATCAGGATATTGCTGCATTCCCTCCCTTCCCGAAAGCAGCCACGGAAAAACAGCAGCTTCAACTGGGTATAGGGTGATGGGGGGAGGTGGGGGCGGGGAACAGAACCCAACAAGCTGCCGCTGTCCTAGTAGTGGGCTGACCTACAGGCAGCAAAAAGCTGTGTGTTGCTGGTGTGACACGGACTCCTCCACCCCATTTGGGTGCTCTGGTCCAGCCTCACCGTGCTGCTCCAGAGCCAACCAGGTTGGCCTGCTGGCAGCATGCAGGAGCAGGGCTGAAGTGAGGCAAGGAAAGGGTTAACTTGCTCTCAGGCCCCAAAGAACCGATATTTATTTCATTGTCAGAGGGAATATAATTAAGAAAACATAGAAATCATCATCAACTACAGCAGGCTCAAAGGCACAGGGGTGCTCGCAGCACAGGACAGTATCAGACCCCCGGGGAAGATGATCCTTGGGGCAGCCACGCTGGGGCAGAGGGACCACACTGGAAAGGGCACAGAGGACCCAGGGTGATGTTGAGCACCCCCAAAGCAAGCCCCAACAGTAGCCCGCCCATGGATGGGTGAAGCCCTGTTGTGCCACTGGGTGAGGGTGGCAAAGCCCCGGGCACAGCGCCCCAGCCCCGCTCTGTGTGACAGGGAGGAGTCAAGCTGGGAAACTAGGAATCACTACAGAGAGTTTGGCTTTTTAACAACTACGACCAAAAAAAATTAAAGAAAAAATTAAAAAAATAAAAAAAAACCACCCTCCCCTCCCCCCCAAATCATCTAAACCCCACTTTTTTCTGGGTCTCACAGGAGCAGCTCAGCTGGGCACAAATGGCTCCACTCAGCACACATGGCTTCAGCAGGGTGCAGTGGGGCAGCTGCCCTCCAGGAGAGGTCAGATGCTGCTGGAAGCAGTAAATTCGCCTAACTGGGAAGAGCTGGGAGCAATCGCAGGGAGTGGGTGACATCCCTGTGCCAGGCTTCCAGCCCTTCCCCTGCCCTGCACTCCCCAGCAAGTGCCCCGGAGCGGGGCCGTGCCTGAGCCTGCTCGGGGAAAAGCTGCCCCATAGAGCCTGCGCAGCCCTAGCTCAGTGGCTGCTGTTGCTCATGGAGAGCCCAGGCTGCAGCGCGGGGGGGAACATCTCAGATTTGTGGAAGGGTGGCATGTAGACAGGAGGGGAGGGTGCCAGGCTGTAGCCCTGGGATGTCACCGGGATGGGCAGGCCGGGGGGCACAAGGGGCTGGTTCATGTCATACATCACCCCCTCCGCCTCGTTGCCGAAGGGCAACAGCAGCCGTTTGCCCTTCTGACGCCGGTTGCAGAACCAGACCCGGACCACCTGCAAGAGAGGGGAGACAGGACAGGGTGAGGGGGGAGAGGGTGACAAGGACACCCTTTTGCGGGTGGCATCTCCACAGCAGAGCCCCAGCCCTGCCACAGCTCCTCCTGGGGCAGAGCTGAGGATGGCCGCTCTCCCACAGCTTCCAGTATTGAACCAGTTGGATGCAAGTGCTTAGGGACCATGGCCATTTGGATACCCGCACTCCAAACTCCTCCAACCTACATCTTTGTCTAGGTTGAGGTCCTCAGCAATCTGGGAGATCTCCTGGGGACTGGGCTTCACACACTTGCGGAAGAAGCTCTCCAGCGTCCCCTTCACGTTGGTTTCAATGCTGGTCCTGCGCTTTCTCTTCCGGGCTTGGGCCAACACTTGCTCCGCATTGCACATCTGAAAATGAGAGAGGAACCACACACTTGGATCACAAGGATCACAAGGCTAGTGATGTCCCCACCAGGATATGGACACACGTGTGGTCTAGGCAGGATGGGGACAGGCTTTGTCCCTATTACTGTCCACTGAGCATCACCCCATTGTGACTGAGGCCATTCCCAGTGTTCCACCACTGCCTGCAGCTGGTATAGAGGAGCACATGGTGCATGTGGTGCACATGTCCATGGTTCACACGGACATGTCTTTCTGCATCCCCCCAAGGGAACAGCAAGCTGCATCTCCAGCCTATCTGTGATTCCAGCAGGACCTGTCTGCTCCAAGATGGGACCACAAGGTTTATGGGGGGTGATGTGGGGTCCCCCCAGCCTGGCACCAGGTGATACCCAGTGGTTCCCCCCACAGCTGGGCTGAAGGAGAAGCCCAGCTGTGCCTGGCAGTGAGATGCTGCTGTGGCACAAAGTACCTGCTGCTCCTTTCCTCTCCCCTCCCAAAAAACTCATGTTATTTCAAGAAAGGGAGAAGCTGCAGCTCGAGGGCTCACGAGTGTGCAGTGCCCTGGCTCCAGCCTGCCCCAGCCCCACACCTCTTGCATGTTGTCCGTGTTCTCTGCCTCGTTGAGCCAACGCTGCAGCAGTGGCTTCAGCTTGCACATGTTCTTGAAGCTGAGCTGGAGCGCTTCGAAGCGGCAGATGGTGGTCTGGCTGAACATCTTCCCTGCGCGGGCAGGCAGGACATCACACACTGCTCCAGCCCCCCCAGAGCCCCCCCTCCAGCATCCCCTGTCCCTTGGGATGGGGAACAAGGCAAGGCACTCTCTGATGCTTCAACACCGAATTAAACCACTGCAACACTCTTCCAGAAGCAGCTGCAGCCATTTAAAATCAGCTCCTTGTTCTCAAACCCTTTTGGGCTTAAGCAAGTACTTAACAGGAGCCCCAGGGCTGATACTTGCCACCTCCTTTGCAGGTTGCTAAGGCATTCAGGTATTTCCCCCCAGCCATCCCCCAGGGCCTCCTTCCTTCCCCCCCAGTGGGTGCTCACCGTAAAGGGTGCCCAGAGCCAGCCCCACATCAGCCTGGGTGAAACCCAGCATGATGCGCTTGTGCTTGAGGTCCTTGGCAAACTGCTCCAGCTCCTCCGAGGTTGGTGCATCCTGGGCAGGGGCAGAGAGAAGCTGAGAGAGGACAACCCTTGCCCATGGGCTGCCGATGTGCGGTGGTCAGCGTGGGACAGGAGGGCTCAGTGGAGCTTTTGGCACCCACCAGCGGCTGCCAGCTCTGGGCAATGGGGTGCTGGGGATGATGGGGTGGGTGGTAGGAGGGTTTTCCTCAATTTCTGAAAGAGGGACTCTGCTCAGGGATCCCAAAATGTCTCCCCCGCCCTGCTGTACGTAGCACCCCCTGCGTACCCTCTGGACACCCCCTCCCCACACACACACGGGTGGCCCAAGGACAGAGAGAGGGTCGGGAGTACTCAGAGCTCTGCTCCACCGCACCTGGGAATGTCCTCTCAGCCCACGACACGTCCCCACGAGCTCGGCGCTGCCGGGGGTGCGCACCCACCGCCCCCCCGACGGGGCAGCCCTGAGCCCGGGACAAGTGAAACGCCACAGGTGAAGCGAGTGATGAAAGGGCCCATGACTCCAGCAGGATCCCAACACTTCCGTGCCACAACCCAGCTCTTTCCCTCAGGAGGGCTGCTTTTCCCTGTGCTTCCCTTCCTCCCTTAGCGCAGCCTTCAACTGCTGCGGGCGCACGTTGGAATCTTTTACCCGATTTCCATATTGGCAGCGCAATTTCGGATCTCCCTCCTGCCACTTAAGCCTCAGGTTTGAATTCCTGCCGGACTTCTCAGCAGGAACCCCGGAGCATCCCCGCCACGGGGCGACCCTCAGCACGGAAAAGCTGCTCCTCGTAGCCTCCATCAAAGCGGGGACTGCTCCCCGGGACGCGACGCCCGCATCGGCAGAGCTCCGACCCCCGCGACAGCCGCGCCCGCGGAGCCCGCCCGGGAGGACGGGCTAAAACTGTGCTACGGCTTCAAAACACTGAAACCAAACCGAAACCCCAACTGCCAGACACGAGAACTACCGCTGCCCCCGACCCAAACCCGGGCTGGCTCTGCCCGTCCCGGTACCCACGAAGCCATGGGAGGAGGGGCCAGGGTCGGGACAGCGTGTACCGGGCGATCAGCCAAGAAAAGCTGCCCGAGTCCCCCAAACCGCCGTTCTCCCCCCAAAACAGCCTCCCCGAAGTGTTCCACCCGCGGAAGACGGAATCGTCGGGCCTACTTGAAAGGGGGTATACCCGACGGAGGGGACGGACGAGCAGGACGGCACCGACGGGGTCCCCGCTAACAGCGACGCCAGATAGCGGCCAAGCGGGTCCCTGCCCCGACGGGGCATCGCGGCAGCGAGGCCGGGCTCTGTCCCTCGCCTCCGCAGCGGCATCGGGGGCAGGAAAATGGGAGCGCGGTACCTGCGAGGGGTGCCGGGGCTGGCCGGGCGGAGGGCAGCCCTTGCCTGTTCCCGTCCCGTCGGGTCTCACCTCGTCGCCGCTGTCGCTGGAGTGTCCGCCCTCGCTGGCGGCACCGCTGGAGCTGCCGCTGCTGCCCAACCCCGACAAGCCACCAGAGCCCGGCTGCAGGGCGGCGGGGCAGAGCTGCGGGCCGGGGAAGGCAGCGGGGCCGGGGAAGGGCGGCCCGGGAAGGGCGGCGGCGGCCCCAGGGGGCGCGGGCCCGGCCCAAGGCGGGGAGGTCCAGGTCGACCCGCAGCAGGCCGCGGTGCGGGGCTCGGGCGAGGGCTGGCTGCAGGGCCGGGCCGGGCGCGCCTCTGCCTTGGCGGGCGGCCCCGCGGGCGGGGGCAGCCAGGCGCGGGCTGGCGGCGGATCGCGGGTGGCTTCGGGCTCGGCGGCGAAAGGGAAGAAGAGCGGCTGAGCGGCCGCCCCGTCGAAGCCGCCGCGGGGGAAGGGCGGGCCGGCTTCGGGCAGGAGGCCGAAGTGGGCGGCCGGCAGCCCCCCGTCCGGGCTGAACATGCTGCCCGCGGGCCTAGGGCTCCATGTGGGGGCTGCCGGCCGCTGCCTCCCTGCTGCGGCGCCACCGGGGCCTCTGAGGGCGGCGGGGCCGTGCTGGGCCGTATGGAAATGGACCCCGGCCCCATTGGCCCCGCACCGGTGGGTCGGGCGTGAACTTGATCCCCCCGGGAGGGGTTGAGGGTGGGGGGCAGGTGCGATGGGAGGCGGGCTGGGTGCTGGGACCCGTCTGTCCCCTTCCCGTCTGGCCGCGGGGCGGGGAGTGCTCCGCTGAGGGGTCTTGTGCCCCTCCGGCTCCGCTCGCCCCGTGTGCGGCGAAGGGCAGAGCTCCCCCAGCCCCGACTCCGGCGTGCTCGGTGGGACTCACATCCCCCAGTGTTGGCGCAGCATCAGCCCCAGCGTCTCCCCACCTGGGAGTTCCCCAGTGTCGCCGGGTCCAGGCACGGGCAGGGAACGGGACTGCTCTGGGCAGCAGCCACGGCCTGGGATGCGGGGGGCGCAGCCTACCCAGAGCCGCAGCAACCCCTTGCCCTGGGGATGCTGGTGCCATCGCGCTGGACGAGGGCATGGCTGTCCCCTCCTGCCCCTCTGCAACACCTGATCCCAGCGGCGGCCTTACACACCGTGGAGAGTCCTGCAGAATGTTTCATGGGCAAAGCGAGGGCTCCCCGGCTCCCTCTCACTCCCACTGACCTCCTTTTGCTCCCCGCCACACACACACATAGAGGAAGGCAATGACTCTGAGGGACCATGTCCTTCCTGGAGGCCTCTGCAAGCAGAGAGGCCCCGAAACTCTGGGTGTGCCACCGGGGAGCTAATTGCAGCCCTGGCTATCAGCCCCATTGCTCCACAAGGAGCACGCTTGATATTTTCTCTATCTTAAGGGCTTTCCTCACACTGCCCTTCACAATGGCGCTATCGGGGCCAGCTGCAGCCATTTCCCCATTCCCTCCCTCCTCAGGGAGCTTCCCTGATCCCGACGCTGCTGCCCCATCAAGCCTCTGCTGGGACCTGCCAGCCCAGTTCCTGCCCGATGGTCCCGGCTACCCCTGGCCACAGCCGGAGCAGAGTGAGCGACCACCCGGCTGCCAGCACAGCTCCCTGTTTATTAACCCGGATTACAGGCAGCCTGCTGCTGTCTGGCACTGGAGATATGCCAGAGAGATAGGCTGGAGGAGCCTCCCCCGCGGCGCTGGGATGGGACAGCTGGGGGACGACTCTTGGTGCTTCTTATGAAGCACTTGCTTTGGCTCCTGGAAGTGCTGGGACCCATAGTGCCAGCAGCCTCCCGCACCACTGCACATGGGGGGAGCAGAACAGCCTCCCTTGTAATGGTCATGAAATCATAGAATGGTTTGTGTTAGAAGAGACCTTGAAGCTCATCCAGTTCCAACACTTTCCATGGGCAGGGACACCTTCCACTAGAGCAGCTTGCTCCAAGCTCTGTCCAACCTGGCCTTGAACACTGCCAGGGATGGGGCAGCTACAGCTCCTGGGGCAGGATGAATTCTGCTTGATGGACCTATAAGGGAGAAAAAGAATAAAAAACCAAGTGGCTGAGCTGGAATCATTAAAGCCCCATCCTGAGTCCCGGTGGCATATGTGCCCAGCTGCTCTGCGGAGGGTGTGTGATGCTAAGCAGCCCCAGCAACAAGAGGATGTAAAAAGCCAGTCAGTGGGGATGTGGGCCATCCTGAAACGATGTGGACAGCCATGAGGGGACATGGACAACACTGACAGGACACGGGTCACCCTGAGCAAGCCCCAGGACTGCGGGACCCACTGGGGGCTCACCCCTGCCCTGCCCCGGTGAGGCTCCGTCTGTGCGGGTGCTGGGCTCAGCCGTGCCCAGGGCAGAGCAGGGCCCTGGGCTGTGCTGCACCGGGCTTCCCGGGATGCCGCGGGCAGAGGAAGTGTCTCTGCGGGACTCCGATGGCAGCCATCAACCCTGCTCCTCCCGGGCTCCCGCTGCGGCCCCGGGTTTCAGAAGATCCTTGGCTGGGCAGTAACTCCCCTTCCCTTTGATTTATTGTTCCCGGGCTGGACCCCCTCCTCCTGCCAACCTGCTCTTTCTCTCCATCCCCCCAGGAAGCCCCCCCCCAGCCCGACAGGCCTCAAACGCATTCCTGCTCCCTTTCATATACAGGCAGAGGGGAAGGGAGACGTTGACTTTGAACCGTCCCCTTTGTAGGAGCAGGGCCTATTGTGGCAGTGATGGTTTTAGCTGGGGGATGTGGAGGGAGTCAGTAGGGGTTCTCAGTGTATTCCCCCCCCCCTTACATTTTAATGGGGCGATTCTGGGGGGCTGTGAGAGGTCCCCGGTTACTGCGTGGGGTCACTGTGCACCAGTGGCTGGGTTTGGCCAAATATTTGGAGCAGAGACTCCAACCTGCTTCAGGAGGATGGATCTCAGGCCCAGCTCTGTGGTCTAATGCAGCCAGGAATAAGTGAGATCCTGCTAGAAAGGAGGAGAAAATGTGTCCAGCTTCCCCAGCTCGGTGATGTGGCAAGCAGGCTGGGGAAGACAGAGCTGCACATCTGTGTGTCCTGTTGCTGTGCACTGTTTTGAGGCTGGTTTGGAGTGGAGATCAGATTTTAAGAGAGTGTATGACTGCAGATGGTGCTTCATTCACTGCCCACCCACTCTCTGTGGTAGATGATGGAGAAGCAGTTGGGGCTGTGCTGGGTGCTCTTGAGCTTCATGCCCGAAGCAATCTCACCTTGATCCTCTGGTCAGAGCCAGCCCCAGTCTTCACCCTGGGTCCATCAAAGGTCTGGGCAGTGTGTTCAGCTTCAGAAGCCACATCTCTTGAAGGAACAAGCTCTTCCATGGCACCACAGTTTACTTGGCTGCAGCTGGTCTGGGTGGACAGGATGGAAAGCTCGTAAGAGGATATTTTGGTTCTGTTCCCTCATAGAGTCACAGAATGGTTTTGATTGGAAGGGACCTTAAAGTTCATTCAATTCTAACCCCTGCCACGGGCAGGGACACTTTCCACTAGAGCAGCTTGCTCCAAGCCCCTGTGGCCAACCTGGCCTTGAACACTGCCAGGGATGGGGCAGCCACAGCTTCTCTGGGCACCCTGTGCCAGCGCCTCACAAGGGAAGAATTAAACGGCCTCTGTGTTACAGAGCCCGGCTGTAGTTTGGGCATTGCCTGCATCACTGCAGTGCCTGAACACCCCGGCTGCTCCTCCTGCTGATGGACAGCTGGGAAACTGAGGCATGGACATGCTGGGGCTGAACACAGACCTTGCACCCAGCCCCGGGCTGTCCTGGGCTGTCTGCAGCACAGACCTGGAGTCTCAGGACCAATGTTTCTTCCATGCCAGGATGCAGTGAGGACACAACTCCCCAAGGGACAAAGGGCTCCTGCTACTGCGGTGCCCTGAGCCGGAGGGTCTTCCTGGGAGGAACCATGTTTGACTGAGGGTTTCCCAAAAAGCCTGGGCATGCTGTGAGAGGCTGCGGGGCGCTGAGAGCAAAGGATGAATTTGGAGAGGAGTGTGCAAGGCTGGGTCTCCACATGGGTGCAAGGCTGGGTGTCCCCATGTGTGAGCCTTGGGGCAGTCCCAGGTGATTTGAGTTGCTATGCTGCCATGGTCCTGATGATAATGGTGACGATGATGGGTGGCTTTGAGCTGAGCATCCCCAAGGGTGCCCAGGTGCTTTGCCGGTGAGTCAGCACCCACCAGCCACCCTGGGGCTGCTGAAACCAGGAGGAGACGAGATTGTATCAGCCTGATGGGGGGCTGGTGTGATCAAAGGACCAGGAGAGTACAATGCGGGGCCATGATAGCCCTTATCTGCTGGCCCCACAGAGGTGCGAAGGGCCATTGGGGTGAGGGGTGATGGGGTGGGTGGGTGCTGGGTGCTGCAGGGCTGGGTGTGGGCTGTGCAGGCACAGCTGGGGGCTCCCACGCAGCCCTTTGCTGGGGAAACCTCTCCTGGCAAACACTGGAGCAAGAAAATCGACTCTGGTTCTTGTCTGGTCTGGGAAAAATCCCTTGGGAAGGGCTTGGGGGCAGAGGCCGGATGGCTGTGTTCACTTTTCCCCAGGGAAGGTTTTGGGATGGGAGACCTACAGCATCCTCCCTGTCTACCCCATCCCTCCCCACTCCTCAGAGCAGCATGACCAGGGGGCTGCCCCCACACCACACACTCGCATGGGTCTCAAACATGGTTGTTTAATAAAATCTCCTGTTAAAAGAACTACATACAACAACAAGGGTGTGGGGAAGCAGCAGCCTATGGGCCGGGAGCAGCGCACAGGTGAAGGTGCTGCGTGGCAATGGGCTCTGCCCGCGGCCCCGGTCCCACAGCACTATCGGTCACCAGCACAGCCCGGCCACCGTGCCCCCCCACCCGTGCTGCCCGTATGTGCAATGGCTCCTGAGCGTGCGAGGGGACACCCCCTGCATGCAACGGGTGACCTGCGGCTGGGACAGTCCACACCGGGGGCTGGACACGGAGCCGCTTCTGTGAAAAGCAACTCAAAGCCATCCTTACACTGACCATGGCCAACGTACCTGGGAGGCTTTGGGGAACAGCACTGGGCTCTGAGCAAGGAGCTCTGGTGAGCCCAGACACACACATGGACAGTGGAGCGGTGCAGGGGTCTCTGGAGCCCAGCGGCTGCCTGGGATAGAACAGCAGACACCACCCCCTGCCATGGAGGGATGCCCAGAGAGCACAGAGCCAGGCTCCGCAGGGCAGAGACCAGCACAGCAAACCCATGTGCCTCAGATACCCCTCGCAGCCAGCAGAGCCCCCGCCAGCCTCGCTCCTTCCTCCCCCATGGCTACACAGGCTTAAAACCAAACCCCTCAACCCCTTCTCTGAGCTTCACACTGAGCATCACAGAGAGCTGAGCTTTTCTCTGAGCACCACCACAGAGGCCCCGAGTGAGAGCCCAGCTGGCACCCAGGGCTGTTGTGAGGGAATCCTCTGCCAGCACAGCCCGGCACTGTTCCCAGGCCACAGGCACCGGGACTGCCTGCACC